TGGGGTACTGCTGAAGGAATTAAAAGACTTTCACAATCAGCATAAATAATAAAGGGCACACGCTCCTTATTTTGAAAATTTTTAAACTCAACTGTATTTTGACCTTTTTTGGGTAATTTGATTCTTGTGTTGTTCATTTTTCTACAATTCTCCTCATGTTCAGTAAGCTTTTCTTGATTAAGGAAATAATGTAAGCAGCGATCACAAATGTATTTCTTATTTTTCTGCCTTGATAAGTCTGAACTGACAAGTCTAGATAAATCCTTTATCCAGACGTAATGATAGTTAAAAGAGATGAGAGGTATTTCATTTTCATCATCATCATCTTCACTTAGATTTTCATCTATATAATGATCTTCAATTCGAAGAAGATTGACGTGATTTATCTTCTTTTGAGATGAAAGATGAAGAGGTGAAACTGTAAACTTTTCATCTCTTTTAACAAGACCATACAAGTTGACGGAAATATTGTTCAAAGCTTCGAATTTAAAAATATCATTAAGGGAGACAGGGAACTTAATTCCAGTAAAATTCAATTCACCTTCATAAGACTTGTACTTTGAAACTCGTTCAGCGTTCTTTTCAACTGGGTGCAAAGAAGATAATATTGCCCATTTGAAACACTGATTATCAAAATTTTTAACATTAATGCAAGCATGTTTTCGATTGATAGCAGATGGCAAATTGATATAAGAACTTGCACGCATAGGGTTGTACTTGTTAATGTTAACCTCCAACCTTTCAATAGAATTAAGTTTCCAATTAGATTCTTTCTGTTGGAATTCTTCAATTCTTTTTAAGGTAACTTGTTTAACATTAACATTGTACCACTCATCTAACGGGGTTGTCGATAAAATTGCTTCTGTTTTCGCAATAAAAGTTTTCAATTCAGACTTTTCTATACCGTTGACTGAATCTTTAATAAACTTCGCGCCCAATACAGTATAAACTTTTATCGGACCATACCTATTTAAAGCTTTTTGAATATTCACTTGAAATAAACTAGAGGCATCGTCAAGGAATTCATTAATATCCATGTAATCTAAATTCATTACAGCACTAGTTTGTAATCTACCGTCAAACGCTTCATCAAAATCCACCCATGTCATTCTCTCATTCGCTACTTGCACACCCTCACCGCGTTTCATTACAGCATCAAAATGGCAACGCAAGTATTCCAATTTCTGGCTTAAATTTAAACATCTAGATCTTTGAGAAGAAGAGAAATCTGACCTATGCAAAAATTTTCTAAAAATATTCTTATATCTTTGACACTTGTTTTGCCATTCGAATGCAGTAATGCATTTTCTATCGCCAGTCATCGACATTGTAGCGATGAGCTGACGTTCTGCGATTTTAATAAAGTTGTCAGATTCCTGACAAAACAAAATAGAACAAAAAATCTGAAAAAACCACCACCAACTTAAACCTAATAAAAAAATAGAACACAAAAAAATAAACAAACACCTATAATAAAGAAAAAAAATTATATCCAAGAACGAAATAAATAAAAATCTCTGAAAAATAACTCTGAAATGAAACTCTGAAAACTATAGAAAACCTGGAAGTAGACTGCTGCACCTTACAAGATGCAACTGAGGCTCGTAGCTCGCGCTCCGCAACTTATACACCAGTCCCCACTATACTCACCACCCCACTACTCAACAGTCGCGCGCAACACTCTATCCCTCTACGACGCACCCCACCAGTACACAGTCGCGCGCATCTCTCCTACCACAATAGAGTAAACGCACTCACTTTAAATTTCCCACCAAGGGGGTTTGAATTGGTCGGTAAATGAAAAAAGGCGCCATCTCGTAGAGGCAGCCGGAAATAAACTCAGTCGGTAAAACAGAACACACCGACCAAGACACTTTAAATTTTAAAATAAAAATTTAAATATCCCACCAAGGGGGTTTGAATTCGACGGTGGCGCCATCTAGCAGTGGCAGCCGGTACTAAACTCGGTCGGTAAAGAAGAACACCAAGACACTTTAAATTAAACTTTTAAAAATTCAAATTTCCCGCCAAGGGGGGTTGAATTGGCCGGTGGCAGCCTGAACTAACTCGGTCGGTAAAGTACATTTCTACATTACCGACCTCGGTCGGTAAGTGAGCCACAACCCGTGTAGATCAACTACTGTAAAAAAATAAAAAAATTCACATTTTAGCTGAAAAATTTTGTATTTATTTAAATTCAAGTTTAAATATAATATTTAAATTTAACTCAAATGTATAGGTACTCAAATGTTTATATTGCTTCCTCATGGAGGAAGTATTGTTTTGGCGAAATTTTTCGAACTCATTTTTTTGACATATCTTTATGTTTTTTGACCTCAGGAATCCAAAAATGACATTTTTAGAAAATGTCATTCCGTATGTGTGTGTGTGTGTATATACATTACATTTTCATAAATATCTCATATTCTATAAGAGCTTTAGGGCTGAATTTTTTTTTAAATTATAGATCTCACTTGGGGACATAAAATGAGAAAACTTTGGGACAAATTAATACATATTAACTATATTTTTTTTGACTTTTAAAATTTTTGAAAAATCGTTTTTTGCCCATAACTTGAAACACATGTTTTGAAAGTTGGGATGTTTTTACTTAATTTTGTAGAGTTTTTTAAGATGCATTTTTTGAGCTATTGACGAACAATCTGCTATCATTTTATCCAAAGTTATTGACATTTTAAAAATCATAAAAAATAGTTTTTTGCTTATAACTTTAAAAAAATGTTATGACACCTACAGTTTTCTTAGTCTCATTTTGTAGAGATTTTCAAGACGCATCTTTTGACCTATTAACGAACAGTTTACGATTATTTTATCCAAAGTTATTGACATTTTAAAAATCATAAAAAATCGTTTTTTGCTCATAACTTTAAAAAAATGTTATGACACCTACAGTTTTTTTTAGTTTCATTTTGTAGAGATTTTCAAGACGCATCTTTTGACATATTAACGAACATTTTACGATTATTTTATCCAAAGTTATTGACATTTTAAAAATAAATAATATTGATAAAAACCTGTTTGCATTTTTTGTTCAAAAATCTTTATGTATCTGTAAAATCATTATAATTAGATTAGAAAGCTTTTTCTTGGTGATAAACTTTTTTTAATTTTTATGCAAAACATACCCAAAACTTTTATTATTCCTAATATAGGGTGAATGCGCTAGTAGTCGGACACTTAAGGATACGATCTCATATTATGCTTTTTTTCTTGAAATGACAAATAACTAGAGTTTTTTCAAGTACATTATCAACTAAAGGAGTTATTCATGATTAAAAAATCATATAAATTTATTGCAAATGCGTCAGTATTTAATAAAATATAAGCATTTTAATGAAAAATCAGGAAAGCTTTAGTAGTCGGACAATTTTTTCTATATTCGGACATCAGCCAAATAATAAATTAAAATTCTTTCGGGGTGCACGATTGGTTACCTCCACGTGGTGCATCTTGGCAACAATGTCATTGAAATACTTCCAGTTAAAAAACTATTTAACTTTTTTCTATTATATTTCATACACCTAAAAAAATTTAAAAAAACAGTAGTAGAAAAAATTTTAATATCATTTTCAATGAAATTGGCTAAATACCAATCATTTTTAAATATAAAGTTATACACACATTATTTTATTTTAATTTTTAGTTTAATTTTTTACTTATTATTATATAAATAAATATAAATAAAAAATCGTAAACTGATCGCAAAATATCTCCATGAGGAAGCAAAGTGTTCATGGAATGAACACAAAATTACATACTTCAACTTGGCAGCGGTTTTATTATATTATTTTTGTATGTTTATTTCAATGTTAATGCTTTCTCCACCGATGAAGCAAATTTTTTGCTGATCGTAAAGAGGAAGCAAAATGTTCATGTAATGAATATCTGAATTTACAACTTGTTTTTTTAAATATTGTATGTCGTATAATATAGTTATTTTAACTATAGTCGACATATGGATATAATTTGTTTTAAGAATTTAATTTTCTATTTGTGTCTTATTTTTACAGCTTTAAAATTTTTCACATTTCTTAAATGTGCGATTCCAGGTGAGATTTTGAATTTTTCGGAGTAGGTTAACCGATTGCAATGAAACTTTGGAATTCTGTTATATATATAGTAAAACTAATCTTTAACGTAAGTTTCAGGTTAAAATATTTGTTAGTTTACGAGAATTGCAATAAAAACAAAAAATTTTAAACTGCTATATCTTCCGTTCTATTAATCAGATTGAGGTCTACCTTTTTTTAAAATATCAATGAAAATGAGAGAAATAAATCTCTTTCAGAATAATTTTTTTTTAAATTTTACAAAGAAATAATTAAAATTAAATAAGTTTAATTTGCAATTGTAGTTGGATTCCTTTGAAACATTAAAGAAAACACAGCTATTTAGATTATTTTAGCATTTAAGTGATTGAATTTTAGATTGTCGTTCGAAATTTATTCAATTATTAGTTAATAATTTTTTTCTTTGTAAAATTATAAAAAATTATTCTGAAAGAGATTTATTCCTCTCATTTTCATTGATATTTTAAAAAAAGGTAGACCTCAATCTGATTAATAGAACGGAAGATATAGCAGTTTAAAATTTTTTGTTATTATTGCAAATCTCGTAAACTAACAAATATTTTAACCTGAAATTAACGTTAAAGATTAGTCTTACTATATATATATATATATATATATATATATATATATAACAAAATTCCAAAGTTTCATTGCAATCGGTTAACCTACTCCGAAAAAGTCAAAATCTCACCTGGAATAGCATATTTAATAAATGTGAAAAATTTTAAAGCAGTAAAAAAATAAGACACGTTTAAAAAATTAAATCCTTGAAACAAAATATATCGATATGTCGACAACAATAAAAATAAATATTTAATGACATACAATATTTAAAAAAATGAATAAAATTTTGCTTGATAAAGTCAAATATTAAAATATTTAACTGACCATCTTGTTTTCAATGCTTCATTTCTCTATCGGAGACAATTTGATGCAGTTGTATTGCTTTACAAGTGGTCATTCACGGTGAGTATAATACTTCTATAGGTATAATAATTTTTTATTTTCATTAAACTTCTTAAAATGTACCTATAATTGTTTCACAGTTATTTTATAAAAAATACAAGATTTTTTAATCTTATATTATAACTTATATCGTCTCTTCCAAATGGATCTATTTGGAAACATTAAAATTCCATCTGAAGGAAATTTTTACAATCTTATATTCGTTTTAATCACAGAAAAAGTTTATTTGACTTAACTAAATAGTTTAATTTAGTCAAATGCAATAAATCATTAAGTTCATTCAAATAAAAGTATTCAATTGAATAATTTTGTCATGAATCGCAACCAACCTTTTTTTTAGTGTATAGCAATGCATTTATTTCTTTGTTTCAAACAAATTTTTCTCTGTGAGCATTATTGTCGTACTAAACTTAAAAGATAAAAATTATACTAATTTTAAATTAATTCCACGCCAAATTATACGCCCATTTGCAATTGTATCTCAGATTTAAAAAAAAAAATTTTTTCCTTTAGTACTAATTGAGACTAGTTTTCCTAATTTTTTCAATTTTTTTTTTAAAAAGTCGTTCACGAGATATGAATTTTTCAAAATTATAAAATTTTATAATGATTTTTTATTTTTCAATGCTCATAACTTCCTTCAAACTCCATAAATTTTAAAAGTGATTTTTTTATCATATGTATTTTTAAACGTACCCAGATAGCACGTAAGCTTGCCGCAAGCTTCAAATGTCCCACCTAACTCAAGCTTGCATGGTAAGCTTACCGAAAGATTGCAGTGTAAGGTTACTGCAAGATTTCACAGTAAGATTATCGCAAGCTTGCATAGTAAGCTTGCACGGTAAGCTTGTGACAAGGTTGCCAATAACCTTTCCCAATCAGCACAGAAGTTTGCATTGAAAATGAGCACTATGCGCACTTGCAAATACGAGCACTTACGGCTACGCAGTAAATTTTTTTGTCCTCCCAGGAACTGGTGCTCAATGTATGTACAAAAATAAATGTTCTGCCCCCAAAAAATTCTTTGTTATATTCCGCAATATTGCACCAAGCTTGCGGCAAGTTTGCTGCAACCTTCTGTGCTGATTGACAAGGTTATTTGGCAACCTTGCAAGCTTGCCATGAAAGTTAGCTTGGCAAGCTTGGTGCTATCTTGCGGAATATAACAAAGAATTGTTTGGGGGCAGGAAATTTATTTTTGTACATACATTGAGCACCAGTTCCTGGGAGGTCAAAAAAATTTACTGCGTAGCCGTAGGTGCTCGTGACTGCAAGTGCGCATAGTGCGCATTTTCAATGCAAACTTCTGTGCTGATTGGGGAAGGTTATTTGCAACCTTGCCACAAGCTTACCGTGCAAGCTTAGTATGCAAGCCTGCGATAATCTTAACATGCAATCTTGCAGTAACCTTACACTGCAATCTTTCGGCAAGCTTACCATGCAAGCTTGGATTAGGTGGGATATTTGAAGCTTGCTGAAAGCTTGCCGTGTTCACTTAGCAATATTGCGTGGCAAGCTTGCCGCAAGGTTGCTGCAGGTTTACGTGCTGTCTGGGTACATACTTTTCAAAAAAGAAATGAAATTTTTCTAAACAATATTACTATCCAATTTTTAAGTATTAAAGATAAAATGTCATTTTTCTCAATTGACGAATTGATAGATCTTTTTCAAAATTTACTGTTAAAAAATTTATTGCTTAATATTTACTCCTTTAATTTATAAAAAAAAATTAGAATGTAAAAAAAGAATTAGTGTTGATATATTTTAGAAAAAATTTATTATTGTATATAAAAAATGTGAGTTGCAAGTTTTTTTCAATATTTTTTTTACCCAAAGACATACATTTAATAAATTTGAAAAATTTTAAAGCAGTAAAAAATAAGACACGTGTAGAAAACTAAATCCTTGAAAAAAAATGTTTCGATATATCAACAACAGTTAAAAGAAATATTTAACGAAATATAACATAAAAAAACAATAAAATTTTACTTGATAAAGTCAAACGTTAAAATATTTAATATTATCCTTCTAACTTTTTTTTGCTTTATTTCTGTATCTACAAAAAAAATTAGTTGGAAATTTATTTAATATTTTCTTTTACAAAAGAAATTCATTTAATAATTGTGAAAAATTTTAAAGCAATAAAAAATAAGACACATTAAAAAAATTAAATTCTTGTAACAAAATATATCGATATGTCGACAACAGTTAAAAAAATATTTAACGACATACAATATTAAAAAAATCAATAAAATTTTGCTCGATGAAGTTAAACGTTAAAATATTTATAATATTATATTTCTAACATTTTTTGCTTCATTTCTGCATCTACGAAAAAATGGAGTTGAAATTTTTAGAATTTACTGAATTTAAAACGATTTTTTTTAATTTCAGACAATTATTAAATTTTTAGAATTGAAACTAAGGCATCAAATAATTTAAAACAAAAATTGACTTTCAACAGTTTTTAATTGAAAAATACTTTCAAATAATTGACTTTTTTTATGAATGTTATAAAAATAATTGAATTTTATAAGAGTTATAGTTGAAATTATTACATATCAGAAAGTTTTAGATGGAAAATTTTAGAAGGTTTTGAATTTAAAATTTTTGATAATTTTATTTTCTCATTTTTCTTATCTAAATTTTAAACAATTATTAAATTTCATAATATTTTTAATTACAAAATAGTTGTAATATAATTAAATTTAAGAAGAATTTCATTAAAATTATTGAAAATAATTAATTTAGAGAAGAATTTTAGTTAAAAATTTGTTAGATAATTATAATAAAAAAAATCTAAAGAAGATCAGCATTGTATACTAAAAAAGACATATTTTGTTTAAAAATTTATTGCAAAATGTAAATAAAATCGCATCTTATTAAAATAAAGCCAAACATATTTAGAAAATGACAAAAAGTCGTATAATTGGTCTTGTAACTATTGATTGAATACTTGACTCTATTTGTAATTAAATGCAACAAGGCCTGAACAGATGAATTAAATAATTTTTTAGAAAAGTATACCAAAAAATGGACGTCTGTGAAGTAGGCCTGAACATACCATGATATTAGTATTAGCAATTTACTATCTTTTAAGGTTCAATTAGGGCTAACAGGGCTTGAATATCCTAAATTTTAGGCTTTTAATTTATTTCTTAAATTAAGGTTCCTGCCAGCTTCACATGGAAGCTGGCCAGAACCAGGCATACCTTCTTTATCACTATTCCTACTAAGCTCTAACTACAAGGAAAATTTAGGGCTCATTAAGGGCTATCAAAATATTCCTTAACCTAATTAAAACATTTTCATTTTTTTTTAAAAATGTTCACATTGACACTTGTTCACACTTGACTTTATTATTTTTTTAAAATGAGTTTCCGACTAGTAGCAACGTAGGTCCATCAAACCAGCACCTCCACAATTACAATTTAGAAAACAGACTACACTAGATTTTTGGGCTTTTTAGGACTCCACAAAAAAATATTCCTGATTTTTAAAAATCACCTCTTCAACAAAAACAACCCCTTTTAATATCAGCAACTTACATTTTCCTATTTTTCGAATTAATAAATTCATCGGATTCGCTTAAAACTCGGTACTCGGGGGTTTTTAGGGTCGCTGATTACGAATCCGATGTCCGTTTTCAAAATTTCAAAATAGCGCATCCAATATGACCAACGAGTTTTACAAAAATTATACCTATTTGTTCGAAATTCATTACTTAGTGAACAAGAGTAAACCCCTAACCTTAAACGCAAGTGAAAACTTTGATCTATTTCCGCTTTTTTTTTCTTTTTCTTACGTGTTCCAATATTTTTGGGCTCTTCAATATTGCGACTCTCAATTTTTGGGCATATTCCCTAAACACACCTATCTTTAACGAAGAAAAAGTTGGTCCCCGATGCCGAAAAAAATCTCTTATATATTTTGAATCTCTGGACACTGAATGAACAAAATTTCAAAGATTTAAAATCGTAACCGATCCTCCTGCAGGACTTTTTATGTATTTATTGTTTTTTTATGCATTATAATGAAAAATTGCTTCATTACGATGTGCAGATCAGTTGAAATTACTAGTGCAATTTTTTTATACTTATTAAATGTAAAAATAATAATAATAATACATAACTATAATTTTTGGGAATAAAAGTTGGATGATCAATATTGTAATTTTAAATCCGCACTGTCAACAAAAATAATAAGAGAGTATTATCCCTAGAACACCGCAGATGCAAACATTAGATTATCCAAATTTTCTATCACTTCATATTCTTATTAATATACGCAACATTAGTTACTGCTATTGGAATTTGTATTTGTATCGTGTAAGAAAATAAATGATAACAAGTTGGCTAAAATTAGTTAAAAGTTTTGTAGATGTAGTTGATTTATTTTTAATCACGCGTTTTGTCATGATTAAAATAGAAAATTTGTACCTTATGTGGTAAAAAAATTGTTTGCAAAGACGGTAATTTATAAACTTTTTTCTTCACAGAAATTCATAAAAAGATCTTCCAAACTTTTATGAATAAAAGTTTTTCTTTAAGTAATTGAAAATTTTCAACGATAGAATTGCCGTTGATATGTTCAGATAATATTGTTTAACAATTTACACACATGCTCGATACAAAATTTTGAATAATTTAAAGAAAAATTTCTATTCTCATAAGTTTTGATCAGCTTTTCTTGGTTTACTGTGATGAAAAAAGTTTCTAAATTACCGTCTTTGCAAACAATTTTTCTACTATACAAGGCACAATTTTTTTTATATTTCAATCATGACAACAGGCGTGATTTAACTTGTAGTAATAAGTCATTTTTAAATAGATTAAAAATAAATCAACTATATCTACAAAACTTTGAACCAATTTTAGCAAACTTGTTATCATTTATTTTCTTACACGATACAAATACAAATTCCAATAGCAGTAACTAATGTTGCGTATATTAATAAGAATAAGAAGTGATAGAAAATTTGGATAATCTAATGTTTGCAT